TCATCAGGCGATCGTTGATTCCCTGCTGCAGACTGGGCAGTCGTATTACGATGTCGTTCCGGATAGCGAAGGCTACACCCGCGTCTCGTCGATCTGCCCTGGGTCGACCACTCCATTAAAAGTCGTAACCGGCTCCCACCTCTTTCAGTTGGCCTTGTTCGGAGAAACGGGTCTCGCTGAGTGCAGCGATGTCCACCTTGTAGCGCGGCAGTTCTCGTGCCACTAACGCTGTCCTCCGTTCCGGTCGGTTGCTCCGCGGATTGTCTAAAAGGGAACGAACATTCCAGGCGGTCAGAGTGAGCGGACTCACTCTGCCAGTCTGGTGACAACGAGTGGGGCGACGGGAGGGAGATGGAGAAGAAGATGACGAAGGAGAAGAATAGGCAGAGGAAGAGGTAGAAGAGGTGGGATGAGGAGAATGAGTATGGTTGTTGTTGTTATTGGTGTTGTTGTTGTTTCGATTTTGATTGTTTCGACCAGGATTAGACGTCTGCGGCCCTGGCTAGCCTGGAGACGGCGTGGTACCCAGCAATATTTAGGCCACCTTTTCTAGGCCCTTCCCCTCGTGGAGGCTGGCAGTGCCATCCCTGAATAGGGCTGCCATGTGCCGTTGTGGCACGGCCGAACTCCACTATGGGAACACGACTTCGGGTTGTAGTGGATAGCGACTCGAATTCGCCGTAAGCCGCGGTCTCCGACGGCGTAGGTGGGCGCGTCAAGGCGATGTCGATATGGAGATCCATCCCGTCACCAGCTGTCCAGCGGCGTGCAGAGACGAACCACGTCACGACTGTGCCGACGCAAGGTACCATCCGACCTTCCATCCAGCGGAATCCGCAAACCATGTGCACACGGCACAGCGCACAGGGTCCCCTCACCTGGTTAAGCCCGCCGGTCGAGACGGTTGCCCGGGGTGTGGCCGCTGAGCAGAGCCCAGCTACGTGGAGCCACAGGTGAGAGTTGGGTGCTAGCAAATGGAAGCTAGGCGTAGTCTCACCTGCAAGTAAGTGAGCGACCACTACGACCATCACGTGAACCAGCCGCTGACACCCCCTACACCCTACATCGTCTGTGCTAGCATAGATCGCTCAGACATTTGATTTTACGCCAGCATTGCTCATTTTCCGCGCTGCTATCAACATGCAACTGCAAATAAACCAGTGATCCTATAATAATTTATGTTCGTATAAAATATTAAATAAATTTAGATTACTTCTCTTCTCAAGGAGGGATTCAGTCACGCAGATACCGTCTGTGAACATATCGGTATTTGACTGTCTGTGCATGCTAAACGCGCACAAACCTTGCATATGCTATTTGTTTTCCTTATTTCTCTTATGTCACGATCCTTTTAAAGCAGGAATTAATACATTCAGGTAGTCCGCAAACTTACTTAAGAGCAATATGTCCCACCATAATTTATCTGTCTAGGATGTCAAGAAGTCATTATCTTTACGGTAATACGGCCACTGATTTGCCTCCTGCAGTTCACTGAAATAACAACAAACACCTGCATTATCTTTGGCACGACCGTGAACCTGCATTCAGACTGCAGTGCAGAGAGTGCAGACACTGACAGCAGAGCTGTCTATTTCAAAGCCACGCTTTGCCTTTGCTGTGTGACCTCACCAAGGGACACAGAACAGTCCTACTGCTTACTGGCCCCAAGATTCCCAATTGACCTGTCCCAGACTGTTGTTGGTGACAGTAACACGTGCCAGTCACAGCGCTGACAATCAAAATTAATAGCCGGTCCACAGCAGAGCTTTCAACCCTAGCCTTACGCATTTTCATGCTGGCGTTGATTTTTCGTGGCCACTTTGCCTTTGTTGCGTGACCTCCAACAGTAAGACACGAGATCTCCATTTGACCTGTCCCAGACCGGTGTTATCGACGGTAACACATGCCGCTCACAGCGCTGACAATATGCAGTCGCTCGGTAACCGACAGCAGAAAACATGATATGCTATTATTGATATTCACAGGATGCTAGATTTCCTGTGTCTGGTTAGAGGATTAATAAGCAAATACAGTTAAAATCAGCCTACTAGCCAGCAGATAACGGGACCATAGATCTATAATATCAAGTAACTCTCTCCGAACGCAACAAAATGGAAATTATTTTGATATTGTTTCTTTCAAAGACAGGCGATGCATAACACTATTGTACGTTAAAACTGGATTTTCGAAATGTGCATCGAAAAGTTAAACAAGTCCAAATATGGAAAGCATAATTTACGCATTTGTGACAGTCACCATCGCATTGACTGCAGACGTGCAACTGAGCGTATGAAAATGTGGTTTGAATTTCACGAGGCATGCTTAGCCACGCGTGCTCGAACCGAACAGTTTTATCGTAGATGTTAAAGCGCATAGTTTTGCTTTAATGAACAACTCCTCACTCCGCATGAGCAGCTCTCAAAGAATATTCATCACAAGTTCACAGTAACGATTAAATGACTAGACGGGGATCAACTTAACTGGCATTAATGTCAAATCACAAACCACCAAATAAGTACGTACAATCAACCTGCTTTATAATACTTGTTACTGCTACTAGAGAATATCTGTGAGGCATGTGTTCGGGCTCTTAAATACTATCCAACATTTCACTAATTCGAGTAGTAATATGATTTTTCCCATGCATAGCAATAACCAGTAGTTCGATCTTTTTCGACCTTCGGAGAAGGAGCCCAGGAGTAGATAAACGCGGTTTATGTCCTTGTAAGCAGTTCAACGCGCAAGCTTTCGAACCCAACTTGGCTGGTATTCACAGATAATGACTATTGTTCCTCTATCGATTTATGAAATTACTAATAAAATGGATTTCAGCTCTGTACGAAATGTGTCAGTGCAAGTCGTTTTAGTCTGTTAACGATTGTCCCGCAAATTATCATTTGCAATTTCAGAATCTGGCCTAGCAGCTAATAAGATTTGCTTGCAAAACCTGCTGGAATGATTTCCTAAAATTATTTTCCTCACAATGAGCGATTGCATAGATCTTAGTCGATCCTAATTATTTTTATTTTATGTTTAAATATATTAAGTGCTTTCCTTAGTACCTATCACTTCTTTCATTTATGTAAAGAATGTTATCAAGCACGATCAAACCACATGCCTTCCGCAATATACGCAAATGAATAAATCCGACGTGCAGAGTTCAAATTGTGCTCCAGGATCACTATGAATATTCATATCATTACTAACCGACATTATCAAATAAATGATATATAATAATGGACTGTTTGTCAAGCGAAAAAACTTAAGTCACCTAAACGCGCTCGTGTCGAGTTCGCCTGTACATTCAAATCGCGAAAGCATATTCTAGACAATTATGCAAGTACATCGCACGCTTATTAGACCAAATAAAAAAATTTTGCCTATCGATTGTAACTTTAAAGGTCGTAATTTGAAGGGAGAGAGAATCTTTGGTCTCAAATGTCAAAAATATACCACATGCGCATTCTGTGAATAATCTGGCCGTTGAATTGTTAGCAAAATATCCAGTATACTGCCGCATAGGACAGGAGGCAAATTTACATTATTTCAGCCAGTGCACCGCGTTTAATCAGATATCTGCAGATGATCCCTTACGAAGTCGTATAATGAAAGCATAGAGGGATATTGTCGACGATGCGGCTATCAAATGACTCAACAGCTGACAGCTAATGCATTAATTATATCCTCTCTTTAAGTTAACATCTGATTGCACT